ACTCATCATGGGCAATATTATATAAATCTGATGGTCGGTACTCAGAAGCAATCGTGATGATCAATGTCATAATCACTGACGATGGATAAACATCAAGTTAACTCAAGGGTATCAACTCACTTTTGAGTTTCACGGCTTTCTATTTGATCCATAGATCCTACACAAGGTTGGATTGGATAGTACTTTTCCGACCCAACATTTTTGCATTATCGTTCATGCTCTTCGGACCGGACTTATCCGGATTATGATCGCCCAACGCGTGCTAAAGCCGGTTACCGAGTACAATGAGAAAGCATGTAGACCATTTTACAAATGGTGCCATGTCTTATAGTCTATTACATTTGAAATAAACGATGGTTACACATAAAATGATTAGGGTTATCTAAAGGGCGTTCTGAAACGTAATATGGGGCCAGAGACAACTTTAAGATGGTCCTATCTTGTCCAGACATTTGTCAGCTCGGCTTCTGCATATTCCCCTCTTGATGTACCAGTCAAAAGAGGCGAGTTGAGCTTGGCTGGCTGCTGAATAAACAAAGCACATTCATATCCAATGACCCAAGATTTCTTTTGTTCTTTATGTCTCAGATTTTTTAATAAGCTCAAGCCCCACCTAAACCCTCTGTCTCCGTGTCCAACTGGAAATCATTTATACCCACCTTTCTTTAAACAGATAGCGAAATCTGGACATTTGTTCAAACATTATTTTGGGAAGTATCATATCAACTTGCATAGACTTCTTGCGTGGGAAACAGATTGGAAGTGCAAGCACAGTTTCCTCGAAATTAAGGCAAGCTTATCTGTTCTCGTTTCTTATATTCGTTTTCTTACTTCTAATAAGGTTACAGTCACTTGTCCTTTAAGACAGCTTGGAGGCCCTCACGCATTGGAACCCTAGGGTCATGTGCATTAATCATCGAATTGATTTGGTTCGTTGGCGTGCAGCCCGAGAGTAGAGTCTAACCTTGACTTCTGATGTATCGTCTGACGTTGCATAGATTGAAGCCATGCAATCTTTGACCTGACGTACACGGTTCCTTGTTTAACTTGTTTGCGTAACGTGTGAATGATTATCTCAAAAGAAGTGAAGTATTAATGGCGTTCTTTCTTCGAACTTGGAATGCCAACTCGATGTCATGGATTTCCTGGTTGTATGTAAGAACTTAGAACATGCTAATCATCGTCGTTTACTTGTAAAGCAAAATTCCCCGTATATTCTTATAATTTAACGTGGAAGTGCACCTTTAGAGAGTATCTGTATCGCTAAATTCTATTGTGAGAATCAAGACTAAGATAATCATCTGGACTATCTTGGTGGCGGTCTTATTCTCTGTCATTTATTCTTTTCCTTTCTGATCTTTAGCAGCATAAGTGCAGTATTTTGGTTACGTGAAGACCCATGGAACACCCTGTAGATTCCACGAATAAGTTAAGTTCGGGTCTTTCTTATATAAGTGGCTTTAACCTCGAGTGATTTGCACTTACTTGATGAGATTTAAGCATTTGGCCTCTAGTTTCTAAGTTAGAAATATTCCCGACAGCTCAACCAACTGTATCAATTTTGAAAAGTTTGTGACTAAATTCACATCCATTCAATAAGTTTAAAACTGAATTAGTAATTATATAATTGGTAGAAATTTCTCCCATGTAAAACAACAATTATGATATGCGTTGCTCCTGGAAATTCTGCGGTAACACTAGTTTCGGAAAGTTACCTTTACTATGATTTTAGGCAACATTTTTCTCAAAAGGGTTACTTCTATAATTGGATTTTTCAAGTGGATACAAGTATCGTTTATAACCTATAATAAAAGAACAGACGAAATTATGATGGAATTATTCAAACAAGATTCAACTATTTGACGGTGTTAATCTATTTTTTAATATATAAAAAGTTGCAAAGTTCGACAAAATAGACAGTGTGTAGCCTAGTGGTTAGTTATGCTATGTAAATTAATAGGTCCTTGGTTCAACTTTATTAATTGTTTTTTCATACTTCTGACTTTCGTCTTCCTTGTTCTCTTCCTCTCTGTCCTCCGGCCAATTCTTCCATCATGCATGCTTAGTCTCAAAGCTACAATACTTCTGCTACATCACCAATCAGTGTAATAAAGCTTGTGTCTTCCATGGCATCTCCATAGTAATAATCTCTCTTGACCTTACAGAGAATAGAGCTATATTAATTTTGCTAATATTATTTTGATTGCCATTAAATTTAGCGTGCTTGTGTCGTGAATTATTTATCCAAAAGGATTGTTGCGAGTTTAATGTTCACTACCAAGGATTCCAAATATTAAAGCTATATGAGACCGGGATGATATGACCGTATAGTTGGCAGGGTCCCCCTTGAAGATCTATGTCGTTATAATAACTTGCCGAGCAACTTGGTCGCTGCCGGTGAACTCGCGGTCGCTCTTCGAGCCTGGCTCCCACCTCCGGTCAAGCCAAGCCGACGATTGCCGCCGTCGCTGCATCCCCTTCTCCTCCACACCCATAAACTTTGTGATGAGGCCTGAAACAATAATGAGGAACGGACGGGATGTGGATCAGAGAATCCAAGCGATTCTCTCCCATTATGTCTGCAACTTGCAACTTGCATCTTCAATTTGTTCATTTGCTAGACTTAGTCCCATCTTGTTCAAATTAGGTCCTTGGTTAGTCAATTTGATTTGCATAAAATGGTGAAAAATTCCTAGGTCTTGTAACTAGGCAGCGGATGGTATGGCGAGATCCGCCATAACGAGCTCAAAAAGAAAATCGCAAAACCATAGCCCGAAACGTAATATGATATTCCATGCACAGTGTATGGTGAAATTTAATCAAGCTACTGTTGTGCCTTCAATACTGTGATGTATGAGCGTTATTTAAAAAGGGCATATAAACTTTGGGATGTTGAAATGTAGAGTGATTGATGAGTAAAGTAGGCGTTCTCTTTCGGTGAATCAATGATTCCATCCGACCAATGTCGAAACTACAACATGACAAACTCGCAAGAACATGCTTCCTAGGGACAACACCGATAGCTCCAAATTCACAGCAGAGCAAATGTAGATCCCAAGCTGACGTTACTAATAGAGATATTCAATTGCACGTCAGTATTATCCATTCATTCAAATTGATTGGAGATAAATGGAGATATTCAATTGCACGAATTGGACAACAAGAGGACTTATTTGCACTTTTTGAAAGTTTTAGAACTCAATTACATCCTCGCGATAAGTTTTAGAACTTCCAACATACTTATATCATTATCTTACTGATCAAACAGGTTACAAAGAATAACGCTAGCACCAATCAAAGCAACACACATGCTTTTAACATTACAATAGCTACTCCATAAAATAACTTCCAGACGGGAAAGTAATGGACGGAGGATACCGTGAAAATAGGTCCGTGGAAGTTTTTCAATAAAAGTTCAATAAATTGGTATGATGATTTAAGAGGGTGACAGACCAAATTAAGCTCTTTTTTAGGCTTCTTTTATTTTGCAAAAAATAAATGATTTATAAAACTTTTTCCATACAAATGATCGCTTGTAATGCTTATAAACATGAAATGAATGATATTTTTATCGTCCCCGAAAATGTTATATAAATTGTTATCGAGATTCGAAAACGAAAATATTTTTTATTGATTGATTATTTTAAGCGATCATTTACGAGAAAGTAAAGATACCCCAAAAGTGAGGAGCTTAGGTATCAAAAGCTATAAACGATGGGACTCACGGCCCACAGTCACAACGAAAAGGACACAAAAATGGCCAAAAGCCCCAAATGCCGATCACGCTACATTGGCCCAGTGGGCTTGAAGAAGCCCAACCACATAGAAACCAACTAAAGCCCATGTGGAAGGGCCGCTTGTCTGTCGAATGAGACATCCAAAGTCAACTGTTGACCTGACAAGTTGCGACATTCGATTGTGTTACGACTCTCCTATGTAAAATTTCGAACCAAAATCAATCCGAAAATCGGATTACATGGATAGGGAAAAAAAAAGATAATGTGACCAACATGAGAAAAAATGGTCGTATGACTACGTAAGTGATGTGTACTCGCTAATTTAGTATTTTAAATTCGGATTTTAAGTGTTCTCTGACCTTTTTTATACTCTTCGTAAGGTGGATTTATGATTATAAAGATAAGTTGCAAATTAAACAAAATATCGTCGTGTTATGTCTTCATTTATGTACTCCTTCTTGATTTGATCCTTTTGTTTTGGTAGGTAAAAAGTCTCCATTTCATTCATATTGAATACAGTCGCAGATTGGGTTGTAATGTCCATATCCATAATACCATCCCTTACACGGTACTTATCCAAACTATATAACATGGTTTTTTGCTTTGGTATTAATAATACTCATGTGCAATTCCAATCCACAAAATTTGTCTTTGATCCTAGCCCAATAATACTATTTCTATATTATCTGAGATGGAGACTATTTACTTCTAATTTTTCGATTTTTAACCTTTGAGACTTTGGTTTAGTTTAATATATGAGCATCCTAATTCTAATACATATGTTCAATTACTGTCTTGTGCTCGTGCCTGGGAGTCGGGTATCTGAGCTTGAGATTCGATGCTCATGCCAGGTTCCTTGGCTACTCATACTTAAGTCACCAACGTCCAGATAATGCATGTCTCTTTTAGAAAATCAAATGAGTTTTTCCTTACTAAACGACGGAAAATGATTTTCAGTTACTTTTCAAGTCTCAGCAAAATATCGGAAAATAATTTTATTTTCCTGAAAAATGGCTTCGAGGAAAACGTTTTTCAGAAAAATGTCACATTTGTCGCGAAATAAATAGAGGTTTATTTCGCGAAAAATGAATAATTTGAAAAAATGCTTTCAAAAAAAAGATTATTTATATCATTTATAAAAATAAATGGATATAAGTGAAATAAATAATTTCTTTATAAAGTAATTTTTAAATTATCCAAATAGAATCTATTGTATTCGAACTTCACTTTGGTTCGCTCGCGTGATTGATGTGATATGATGGTTTTCTTTCTTTTGCAAGTGGCCGCAGACATACTAAAGAAACCTTTCTTCTGTGGTTCTTGAAGGTCAACCTGCACTTGTCATGCTCCAGTCCGCCATTGTTGGAGCTGCGGTGCACAATGGGCATGACCGAAAGAGAAGAGCAAGACCCATTGTTGGTATCTCCATCCCACGATGAAGATGAAGGCCGGGGAGAGAAAGAGGACGGTTCAGACCAGGTGGGTCTGATCAGCCGCACGTTGTCGGAGTCGAAGGAGCTGTGGCGGGTCGCCGGGCCTTCCATCTTCAGTCGGGTGGCCCTGTACTCCATAACCGTCGTCACTCAAGCCTTCGCCGGCCACCTTGGGGACATCGATCTCGCCGCCATCTCCATTGCCACCACCGTCATTATCTCCATCAGCTTCGGGTTCTTGGTTTGTGCTGCGCTCTTTCGCTTTTTCTTCTTACCCATTTCTTCTTCGGTCGCAGAATAGGTGGTGGCGGATGAAATGAAGAGTTTGGTTTGTGGAAGTTGAAAACGTGTGTGCACATTGCTCTGTCCATCTGCATTTCCGTTGTGGTTGTTAGAGTCGGGTTTGGGATGAATGGGCTTTCAATCAAATTGAAATTGCGTTCTTTATTTCTTTCTAAAGTTCAGGAATTTATAGATTTGCATGATCACATCGATTATTTTGTGCTATGGGACTAGTTAGATTGTCAAATTAGAAATTGTTTGGATAGTGGTGATACTGGTTGTTGGAAGTGGCGGCGGTGGCAGCGGAAATAACTGGGGTGGTGGAGGTGGTCAGGTGAGGGGGTGGAAATGGTGATGATATCTTGAAGATGGTGGTGGAGGTGACACTATGTGGTGGTGACAAAAATGGGATTTGTATGGCAGTGGTCATGGTGGCGGCAGTGGTGATGAGGCTGATTAATTGGCTTTGGTTATGATGGTCATCATGCCATGGAAATTTCGATTGCAAGTTAGAATCTTAGTTCCTTGATGTTAGCCTTCAAATTGGATTGACAAATGTCAACGATTTGGAATAGCAATCAAAAATTAAAATTACCGCTGTTAGAAATGACGAGTAAACAGTGGAATTTTAAAGAAGAAGTGTCTTCAATAGCAGTACTCACTCTCAAATTTGATGCATAGAGAAAGATTTTTCAGATTGTTTCTAATTTAAACTTTTGGGCTGCTTGTCTAGCTGGGCATGGCTAGTGCTCTGGAGACTTTATGTGGCCAAGCCTATGGAGCCAAACAATACCGGATGCTAGGCATATACCTGCAACGTTCCTGGATAGTTCTATTCACATGCTCAATTTTAATGCTACCTCTTTTTGTTTTCACTACTCCGATTCTGAAGCTCATTGGTCAGTCCAGCGCAGTGGCTGAGCAGACGGGTGTGGTTGCTATTTGGTTAATTCCATTCCACTTGTGCTTCCCATTCCAATTCACGCTACAGAGGTTCTTGCAGAGCCAACTTAAGACTGCAGTTATTGTATGGGTCTCGGGGGGATCTCTTGCACTCCATACGCTTATTAGTTGGCTGTTTGTTTACAAATTGAGAGTTGGGCTCGTTGGAACGGCTTTAACTATTGACTTCTCCTGGTGGGTTACAGTCCTTGGTATGTTTGCTTACACTGTTTGTGGCGGTTGTCCTCTTACGTGGACTGGATTGTCAACTCAGGCCATCATTGGGCTGGGGGAGTTTTTCAAGCTCTCCATTGCTTCAGGAGTCATGCTCTTGTACTCTCTCTCTCTCTCTCTCTCTCTCTCTCTCTCTCTCTCTCTCTCTCTCTCTGACATTCTTTACAGCTTTGTTAAACATAAACATGGAATAAACTAAATTCTCTTTCTAAGCATAGAGTTTTTGGCTATGTATATAACTTTTTAAATACTTCTAGTTATTATATCAGGAAGTCAGAATCGTGACAATTTACAAAGTCGCAGCTTAGTAAGCATCAGAACACGGCAAAAGCCTAGTAGCACAGCACAAAATGTAAGCCACCGACATTCGACAGAGTCTCTAATTATAGTTTGTGGTTTTTGTTTTCAGGTTGGAGAATTTCTATTACAGAGTACTCATCATAATGTCAGGGTATTTAAACAACTCAGAGGTTGCAGTTGATGCCCTGTCCATTTGGTTGGTTAACTTATGATAATAGACTTATGAGTTGTTTGCAATTTCTCTGATATTGCAGTACTGTTCTCATGCTTTACATTGATTGACAGCATTACTATGTTTGGCTGGGAATCAATGATTGCACTGGGATTTTTGGCTGCAACTGGGTAGGATTACTAGTCTCTCATGCTCCCAATGTATATGTTTTCAAAAAAATGGACTTTCAGTCCATAGACTTTTTCAAATGGCACAGCATCAGCGAATTTTATTATAGACATTTCAATTTTGTGCTGCTGGAGGAAATTAGCTCCCTTGTAGCTAGAAAAAATGAGGTTATTATGTATCTATACATGTGGCAACTTGAAGTTAAATACTTATACGGCCATTTTGCTTAATAGATGCTTCGGACTGATACACCTGAAAGCAAGTGACATGAACTACAGTCCCTTGAATTTGATTATGTTGGTTTATCCGTTAGTTGATTTTATCCACGGTAGGGACTTTGTGGAGAGCAAAATTTGCATGTCAAAAAAGTTGAAGGAGGGAGCCATGTGCTTTTCCTTCTTTTGGTGCCTCTTGCATTCTTGCTCGACCATGAGAAAAATATAACCTTCTCATCATGCGGAAACTGTGTGTGGACTGTTTTGAACCTTTTATATATATATATATATATATATATATATATATATATATATATATATATATTTCTGTATCTTTCATGTGAGTTGGTTTACAGGAAATTCTCTTGAGACAGTAAACATAAATATGCATTACTTTTTCATACTGCTCTAGCAAGAAAATAAGTTACGAGAACAATGAGCAAAAACTATTGTCCATGATGAATTTACAGTGAAAAGTTAAGCAGAAACTTTTTTGGCAATAAGCACAGGCTGAGTTTACATGCATTTTGCATCTATAGTCTCTAATTCTTATGTTTGCAAGATGGGATTGACTTATACATACTTCGGTAATTCTTTAGTAACTTCATAGTACCATCATGCCAGAATGCTCTTTATATTGACTTTTTTTGATTGGCTTAACTCCTAGTTACTTGATTGTGTTTATTTCTGCTCTTAAAATCTTCTGAAAAATGAGCTGCAAATTCCTCTGGATGATCATGTTATTATTGTGGATATCCTTTTTTCTGAGGGAGCTTCCCTGTCATGGAACCACAAAATTGCAATCAGGGTGTATATGAATTTCGTAGATTCTGAAGATGTCTGCAGAAATAGGCTGATTTAGAATATTTAATTAGAAATTGTCAAGGACGAGCAAGAACAAAAAAAGAGTAAAAATCGTCAACTTCGATTTTAATCTAAGTGTGCATTTTTATAAGGAGTGTTACTATGTGAACCGTTTTACATAGAATGCTCTATGAGCACTTTTTTTTAGCATACTTAACGTGGAACTATTGGGACTGGCTACTGGTATCACATGGAAAATCATTGCCTTGAAATCTGAAAACTTTCTTTGTTTGATTGCTCAACAGTGTCATCTGAGAGCGCTTTGAGAAAATCTTTTATCTATAGGGTTTAGGCATGATACTTTTTACAACAATTGGTCAGAAGTCTCTTTCCTCTACTCTCTCAAAGTTGATTGCATCCAAGATAGCTTTCTGATGCAAATTGTGACCATTTTCACGTTCAAACGAAAGACATCCCACCTGCAAGCATATATAATTCACTTTAGTCTATCAGTCTGTTCTCTTTTTGAGATGTATTTAACTTCTCAACTCAGAGTCCGGGTAGCAAATGAGCTAGGTGCAGGTAATGCGAAGGGTGCCAAATTTGCTCTACTGGTGTCGTTGTTCAGCTCTCTGGTGGTGGGGATACTCTTCTGCACTATTGTTATTGCCTTCAACGAGAAGCTTGCAATGATCTTTTCCTCGAGCGTTTCTATTATAAAAATGGTCAATGAGCTAGCAGTCTTATTGGCATTCACCATTCTGTTCAATTCAATTCAACCAGTACTGTCAGGTAATTCAGTAGGTTATGTAGAGACTCCAGATTTTGTGACCACGAAATACTTACATGGCCAAGTGATTTTCAGGTGCAGCTGTTGGATCTGGTTGGCAAGCATTAGCAGCTGTGGTTAACATCGGTAGCTATTACTTAATTGGGGTTCCCCTTGGAGTTCTCTTTGGTTGGTTTTTGAGTTTTGGTATCGCGGTATGATCTCGGAATTTATTCCTGTTTCAATTAAACTCCTACATAAACCATTAAAATGAATTCTTCATCCTACAAGTGAGGTCAGTTCTTTTTTTTGTACATGAACATGCTCCATTTCATGCCACGTTATCAAATTTGTGACCTAAGTCCAAATAGTTAGGAGTCTCTATATTTAAGATTGAACCCCAAGCTTGTTTGGGATTCTTCCCTACGAATTTTCCAGAAATGCATGGTGGCCACTCAGTATAAGGCATTACTCCCATGAGGTTTCAATTTTCTCTATTTGCAGTCCAAACTCCTGATTCAGCTTGTTGCACAGGGGACATGGGCTGGGATGATCAGTGGAACTGTGGTCCAGACATTGATATTAGCACTTATCACTGTCAAATGTGATTGGGAGGAGGAGGTAAGAGACTAAGGGCCTGTTTGTTTCCTAAAATAGTTAAGATTTTCTATTCTAGTTCTAATTTGAGAATGAAAATTCCCATAAAAACGTGTTTGGTGTTCTCTTGAAAATGTTTTCAAACGAAAACGTGGCGGAACTCGATTTCAGTTTTAAGCTGGAGAAATGAAAACAATTTCTTTTATCATTTTCACAATCTTCAGTGCCAAATGAAAAGTTTTCATGCAGAAGCTAACTCACTTTCATCCTGTCATCTTTCACATGTCTCAAACCCAGAAAAGAAAAAACTCGTAAGATCAATAATCGATACCCATTATTAGCTCACCTCCCTTGCACATAATCATCAAAATCAACACTATAAAGAGTGATTTTAGCCAAAAAAAAAAAGAAACACTCTGGAAGAGTGAGGCACATGGAGAAAGAGAGAAAAAGAGTGCCCTTCTAGTTCTTGCTGGAGGTGACTAGTGCAAAATTGATGAAATTGTGATAAGAGATGTAATCATCGCAGATTTGCTTGTCATAATGAAGAGTTTAATTTCTTCCACTTCTTGTTCCTTCCTTATGGAGAAATGCTGAGTATTCTAAGCCCCTAAGATTGGTGTACTTGGTTGGTGCGTTAGGTGGCTCAGGAACTAGTTATCTGTTAAAATCCCACCAATTGTGTGCACATTGTTTGGCATTATTATAACTTGCACAGGCCAAAGAGTTGAACTTGATTGGTGTTCCATGGGTCTTTAGGTAACCGAGCCTCTGTGTTTGTGCACCTGGTTTACAAAATAATCAAAAGATGAGTGGTCCACATAATTGTTCTACTAACTTGTGTGGCAGATTGCATTTGAGCCTTTAAACAAGGGGGTCACTCTTGACACTCGATAAAAGTAGTACATCAATGGTTTAAACGAGTTTAGTATGCCTAGGATCTTTCTTGTTTTTGTTAACTCCTTTCTTTGCTTGGCTGGGTAAGATGTCACTGCTAGTTTTTGCACCCCAGCCAACCCCACCAAACCAAGGAACTTAGCCTTCAACACATGCTTTTTCTCTCAGCGCACAGAGATAGAGAACCACAACCACGCCCACTAGCCCATCTGTGCTTGAACTTGCACAGATGTCCATCCATTTATCATGCAGTTCCTAAACGTGTTTTCTGATAAACATGTCACTTGCAGGCTCGGAAAGCTAAGACTCGTGTAAGGAATGAGGCAGGTTTGATCGGTGATACGTAATGTGCTGCGTGCAATCACATGATTGATGAGGCTTGTATGGTGGTATATGGCATTGTAAATCTCAGGAGGACAATCATTGAAGAAGTGATCGAAGAATTAAGTCTGCAGAGCAGGTATGTCTTGCCATAGAGTATCATTCTGATTGATTTTCAGGGATGGATCTAATTCATGCAGAACCAAAGTGAGTCATACGAATGTTGGTCTTAATATGCAAACTTGACAAAAGAGGGTACATTCCAACTCCATGGAAAATCAGTAAAACAAGCTATTAGCATGTCCCATGATGTTTGTATAACTTGGTAAGGTTGTCCATTTGTTTGTGGGGTGGATGGCGGTACTGGTGTAGCGTAGTTTCCATGGCTTGTTAAAATCCACTCAAAAATCACGATGTGTGATTTTATTCGCTAAAGTATATTGGCCTCACATGATATTCACGTCATGTAGGTCGAGTGGCTCACATGTTTCGGGAGCATGTGAGAATGAACTCTTTATTAACTGTCGACGAGCCGATGACTCTTTATATAGCTTGGCGGCTCATCCTAATGTAATTTATGGTATAAGATAAACAAGTAATTGTGATATATAGTTGCTTCAATAATCAACATTTGTAAAACATAGACATTATGTGTGGCAAATGGGAGCAATTCCTAAATTATTTCCATTACTGTTATGTAGAAATGAAATTTGAGATTTAATATGCACAGACAACTTAAAGTCTCTACGAAGATGAATATGTATGTGCAAAGTGAAATGTTTTTCTATGGCAAAAAAAAATTGACTTGGAAATTTAACATCGGCTCCGAACAATGAAGGTAAACAAATTTTGAATAGATTATTGAAAATCTTCGAATTAAAGTATGTTCTAATATTAATTAAACACCTATGGATATGTGTTATGTGAGGTGTCTCTGAATTTTTTTATGCATTTCCCAATTTATCCTTGCCTGGAGGCCATAACCCCGACACGCAATGTTTCTCGCCGTTTATGCATTGTACTTCTATGTGTTGCATTTTCGTATTGCAAAATTGATGTGATTAAAAAAATAATTAGTAAATTGTGTCTTTTTTGTTAGGAGAAGCATTTATTAGGGAAATCGTATGTTCATTCGAACAATGTCTCTTTAAGTTGCATTTGAATGAGTAGTCATCTATTATGAAAAGACGTAACACATATATATAATTGTGAGCCCACGAGATTTCAATTGTTAATTTACACAGGTCTCACACAATTTGTCACATCATTTAAGGTCGAGGGACACATTTTTCAAGAGCACGGGAGAACAGTTGCCATCAAGCCGAAGATTTTATTTTTTTTTGCCTAAAAAGAAGGAAGGATAGGTTGAAGTATAGAATTAATATAAAAGAGTTCTGCTTATGAGTGCCTAAGTAAGGAATATTTTTTAATTTTAAGAGTATAGGAAAATTTGAAAACTGCAATCTTTTTCATATTTTTCTTAATAAGTATTTTGGAAGCACTACTTAATGAAATCTTAAAAAGAAAAGTCAGATACGGGATAAGCTTGCCAGCTTAATAAAATGAACAAGGAAGGAACTGACATGCCTGCCTCGTCCATCCTTTGGGGTTGATGTTCCTTCCGGTTCTCGGCCATCCTTATGTCTTGATAATTCGCGAGTTGATCTTGTCTCATGAGGAATGTTATTTCTACTATAATTGTCGTTTCTTTAGGCACGAGATGCGTTGAATTGGGAAAACTATTCAAAAACTTTTAATCCTATTGTACGGAAACCAGTTATGTCCTAATCTTTCAAATGTGACAACTTAGTCCTACATATTTTGATAGCTTGTCAATTTAATCTTAAACCTTTCAGTTTTGCCAATTTAGTCATAAACCTTTTAATGATTTTCAAATCATCAATATCAATCAACTTTTCAGTTGCAAAATCCTCTCCGTGCCACTTTGGAGATTTTGCTTTTTGAAAAAAAAATGCGTTCATTTCGAGACATATTTTCAAAATTAGTTCGTATAATTTCGATTGAGTAGAGTAAGCGAATCCTGTCAACAATCGTGCCTAATTGCTTGATTAGCAAACAAGTCAGGTCATCGAAAAAAATTAATTCGTAATCACAATTTACCCAAGTAAGCAAAATTTTACTTCTAAAAGTAAAAGACGCGTGATTGGAAAAGAAAATCTTAACATATTCGATTGAACAAAATCTTAACACGTGATTTGAATAAGTAGTCATCTACCGTGAAAAGACGTAACAAATATATATAATTGAGAGCCCACAAGATTTCAATCGCTAATTTACACGGGTCTCACACAATTTGTCACATCATTTAAGGTCGAGGGACTCACATTTTTCAAGAGCATGTGAGAACAGTTGCCATCGAGCCGAAGATTTTTTTTTTTTGCCGAAAAAGAAGGAAGGATAGGTTGAAGTAAAGAATTAATATAAAAGAGTTTTGCTTATGAGTGCCTAAGTAAGGAATATTTTTATTTTTATTTTTAGAGTATAGGAATATTTGCAAATTGCAATCTTTTTCATATTTTTCTTAGCAAGTATTTTGGAAGCACTATTTAATGAAATCTTAAAAAGAAAAGTCAGATACGAGATAAGCTTGCCAGCTTAATAAAATGAAAAAGGAAGGAACTTACATGCCTGCCCCGTCCATCCTTTGGGGTTGATGTTCCTTCAGCCTTGAGGTTCTCGGCCATCCTTATGTCTTGATAATTCGCGAGTTGATCTTGTCCTAGAAGGAATGTCATTTATACTATAATTGTCGTTTCTTTCGGCACGAGATGCGTTGAATTGGGAAAACTATTCAAAAAAATTTAATCCTATTGTACGGAAACCAGTTTAGTCCTAATCTTCCAATTGTGACAACTTAGTCCTACATATTTTGATAGCTTGTCAATTTAATTTTAAACCTTTCAGTTTTGCCAATTTAGTCCTAAACTTTTTAATGATTTGTAAATCATCAATATCAATCAACTTTTCAGTTGCAAAATCCTCTCCGTGCCACTCTCGAGATGTTGCTTTTTGAAAAACATGCGTTCATTTCAAGATATATTTTCGAAATTAGTTCGTATAATTTCGATTGAGTAGAGTAAGCGAGTCCTGTCAACAATCGTGCCTAATTGCTTGATTAGCAAACAAGTCAGATCATCGAAAAAAATTAATTCGTAATCGCAATTTGCCCAAGTAAGCAAAACTTTACTTCTAAAAGTCAAAGACACGTGATTGGAAAAGAAAATCTTAACATATTCGATTGAATAAAATCTTAACACGTGATTTGAATGAGTAGTTATCTATCATGAAAAGACGTAACACATATATATAATTGTGAGCCCACAAGATTTCAATCGCTAATTTATACAGGTCTCACACAATTTGTCACATCATTTAAGGTCGAGGGACTCACATTTTTCAAGAGCATGTGAGAACAGTTGCCATCGAGCCGAAGATTTTTTTTTTTGCCAAAAAAGGAGGAAGGATAGGTTGAAGTAAAGAATTAATCTAAAAGAGTTTTGCTTATGAGTGCCTAAGTAAGGAATATTTTTTTTTATTTTTAGAGTATAGGAATATTTGCAAATTGCAATCTTTTTCATATTTTTCTTAATAAGTATTTTGGAAGCACTATTTAATGAAATCTTAAAAAGAAAATTCAGATACGAGATAAGCTTGCCAGCTTAATAAAATGAACAAGGAAGGAACTTACATGCCTGCCCCGTCCATCCTTTGGAGTTGATGTTCCTTCAGCCTTGAGGTTCTCGGCCATCCTTATGTCTTGATAATTTGCGAGTTGATCTTGTCCCAGAAGGAATGTCATTTATACTATAATTGTCATTTCTTTCGGCACGAGATGCGTTGAATTGGGAAAACTATTCAAAAAATTTTAATCCTATTGTACATAAACCAGTTCAGTCATAATCTTCCAATTGTGACAACTTAGTCCTACATATTTTGATAGCTTGTCAATTTAATCTTAAACCTTTCGGTTTTGCCAATTTAGTCCTAAACTTTTTAATGATTTGTAAATCATCAATATCAATCAACTTTTCAGTTGCAAAATCCTCTTCGTGCCACTCTCGAGATGTTGCTTTTTGAAAAAAATGCGTTCATTTCAAGATATATTTTCGAAATTAGTTCATATAATTTCGATTGAGTAGAGTAAGCGAGTCCTGTCAACAATCGTGCCTAATTGCTTGATTAGCAAACAAGTCAGATCATCGAAAAAAATTAATTCGTAATCACAATTTTCCCAAGTAAGCAAAACTTTACTTCTGAAAGTCAAAGACACGTGATTGGAAAAGAAAATCGTAACATATTCGATTGAACAAAATCTTAACACGTGATTTGAATGAGTAGTTATCTACCATGAAAAGACGTAACACACATATATATATATATATAATGAGTAGTTATCTACCATGAAAAGACGTAACACACACACACATATATATATATATATATATATATATATATATATATATATATATATATATAAATATAATTGTGAGCCCACAAGATTTCAATCGCTAATTTACACAGGTCTCACACAATTTGTCACATCATTTAAGGTCAAGGGACTCACATTTTTCAAGAGCATGTGAGAACAGTTGCCATCGAGCTGAAGATTTTTTTTTTGGCTGAAAAAGAAGGAAGGATAGCTTGAAGTAAAGAATTAATATAAAAGAGTTTTGCTTATGAGTGCCTAAGTAAGGAATATTTTTTTATTTTTAGAGTATAGGAATATTTGAAAACAGCAATCTTTTTCATATTTTTCTTAACAAGTATTTTGGAAGCACTACTTAATGAAATCTTAAAAAGAAAAGTCAGATATGAGATAAGCTCGCCAGCTTAATAAAATGAACAAGGAAGGAATTGACATGCCTGCCTCGTCCATCCTTTGGGGTTGATGTTCCTTCCGGTTCTCGGCCATCCTTATGTCTTGATAATTCGCGAGTTGATCTTGTCTCATGAGGAATGTTATTTCTACTATAATTGTCGTTTCTTTCGGCACGAGATGCGTTGAATTGGGAAAACTATTCAAAAAATTTTAATCCTATTGTACGGAAACCAGTTATGTCCTAATCTTTCAATTGTGACAACTTAGTCCTACATATTTTGATAGCTTATTAATTTAATCTTAAACTTTTCAGTTTTGTCAATTTAATCATAAACTTTTTAATGATTTGCAAATCATCAATAACAATCAACTTTTCAGTTGCAAAGTCCTCTTTGTGCCACTTTGGAGATGTTGCTTTTTGAAAAAAAAATGCGTTCATTTCGAGATATATTTTCGAAATTAGTTCGTATAATTCCGACCAAGTAGAGTAAGCAAGTCCTGTCAACAATCGTGCCTAAATTGCTTGATGAGCAAACAAGTCAGGTCATCGAAAAAAATTAATTTGTAATCACAATTTACCCAAGTAAGCAAAACTTTACTTCTAAAAGTCAAAGACATGTGATTGGAAAAGAAAATCTTAACATATTCGATTGAACAAGGTAACGTAATGATGCAATAAAAAGTAAAGGATTAGAGAAAAGTACGATTCACTTCTATATAATGAACACACACCGTCTCCTCCCCTCCAAGTCCTGTAGGTTTGCTAGTCGATTTACAGACTTGTGCGAAACACTAGCAGACATGCAGGAAGTTGAGACTTTATTTCTTGTCATCTTAGGCATGGGAGGCTGCTATATCTGTTTACCTGGAGATAGTCAACCGAAATTAACGTGGTGTTTACCTTCACCACTCAAGAGGCCTCAAGTTCTCTCCATATCTTTTTCTTCCCTGGAGAGAGGGAATACGGAAAGAAACTTGGGAACGAGCCTCCATCGTATCGGAGAATCCCTTCCTCTTGTTTTTTCCTTGAGCCTTTTAATGTCTTGCTCAGGACCGAGAGTAAGCAACAATTGTGCCTAAATTGCTTGATGAGCAAACAAGTCAGTGTTGGAGTTGGCGAATACTTCGGGGACCCTTGTTTCTCACACCGGGTACGCCCACGTGAGCTTAGGGAAACTGAAGTGTTGTCCAACGACATGTGACCCATGCGTGCGGAATGCGGGGTTCGGGCGGCGCGCCCGACACGGTGTTCCCTTGCCCGGCCCGGGCGGGGGTTCGGGCGGCGCCCCTGACGGGGTTCCGCCGACCGGTCGGCCGGACGGCCGCCCCGCTCGCCGGTGAGCGGGCGGGGCTCGGGGCGCGCCCGAAACCTCAACGGGTTTGGGCTGGCCCGTATAGTGCGAGATTAAGAGATTTTATATAGGTTTAGGTTTTGGGCCCGTTTGGGGCATATATATATTTTACTCGTTTTTCGATCATTGTAACGAGTTGAGTGGTCAGTAAACCGAAAACATAGTGAAATCTCTTTGCAGACGTAGCCCTAATCGAGGGTGAACCGGTAAATTCGTGCATCGTCTATTTTCTCTGTTTTCTGCGTGATCGTTCTGTTTCGGTTCTCGACACATCCCTTCAGTCAGGTCATCGAAAACAATTAATTTGTAATCACAATTTACCCAAGTAAGCAAAACTTTACTTCTAAAAGTCAAAGACACGTGATTGGAAAAGAAAATCTTAACATATTTGATTGAACAAGGTAACGTAATGATGTAATAAAAAGTAAAGGATTAGAGAAAAGTACGATTCACTTCTATATAATGAACACACGCCGTCTCCTCCCCTCCAAGTCCTGCAGGTTTGCCAGTCGATTTACAGACTTGTGCCAGACATGCAAGAAGTTGAGACTTTATTTCTTGTCATCTTAGGCACGGGAGGCTGCTATATTTGTTTACCTGGAGATAGCCAACCGAAATTGATGTGGTGGTTACCTTCACCACTCAAGAGGCCTCAAGTTCTCTCCATATCTTTTTCTTCCCTGGAGAGAGGGAATACGGAAAGAAACTTGGGAACGAGCCTTCACCGTATCGGAGAATCCCTTCCTCGTGTTTTTTCCTTGAGCCTTTTAATGTCTTGCTCAGGACCGAGAGTAAGCAACAATCATGCCTAAATTGCTTGATGAGCAAACAAGCCAGGTAATCGAAAAAATTTAATTTGTAATCACAATTTACCCAAGTAAGCAAAACTTTACTTCTAAAAGTCAAAGACACGTGATTGGAAAAGAAAATCTTAACATATTCGATTGAACAAGATAACGTAATGATGTAATAAAAAGTAAAGCAACAGAGAAAAGTACGATTCACTTTTATATAATGAACACACGCCGTCTCCTCCCCTCCAAGTCCCACAGGTCTGCCAGTCGATTTACAAATTTGTGCGAAGCACAAGCAAACTTGCAAGAAGCCGAGACTTCCTTTCTTGTTATTCCAGGCGTAGGAGGCTACTATATTTACTTATTCGGAGATGCCAACGAAACTTGACGTGGTGTTTACCTTCATCACTCAAGAGGCCTCAAGTTCTCTCCATATTTTTTCTTCCTTGGATAGATGAAATACGGAAAGAAATTTGGGAACGATCCTCCATCGCACCGAAGAGTCCGTTCTCCATATTTTCTCCTTGAGCCTTTTAAGGTTTTGCTTAGGGTCGAGAGCAAGCGAGTCATGTCAACAATCGTGCCTAAATTGCTTGACGAGCAAACAAGTCAGTTCATCGAAAAAAATTAATTCGTAATCACAATTTATTCAAGTAAGCAAAAGTTTACTTCTTAAAGTCAAAGACACGTAATTGGAAAAAAAAATCTTGTAACATATAACGTAACGACGCAATAAAAAGTAAAAGAACAAAGAAAAGTACGATTCACTTCTATATAACGAACGACGGTCGACGGCCGTCTCCTCCCCTCCAGCTCCGCCATATCTCTTCCTTTTCTCTCCTCTCCTCGCCTCGCCTCGACGGTCGGCTTCGCTTTCTCCGATTCAACCGCAAAGGCTTTCAGCTCTCGATCTCCGACGACGATCATGGGCGCCAAAGGGTGTCTCAGTTCGGACCAACTCGAGTTCTTCCGTTCTCAAGGTGCCCACTCTTCAAGAACCAATTTCTTGCTTTTCTTCCCGTGTTTTTTTTTGGGTGCGATACGATGGGAAAATGATGTAATTTGCTGAGGAGTGACCGCTCTGTTCTGCCGCAGGTTACTTGGTGTTGGAATCGTTCGCTTGCCCGGAAGAGATCGATGCCATGATGAAGAGGATGGACCAGTTGCTCGACGACTTCGACTGCTCCACCGCCTCGATCTTTTCTACCAAGAACCAGGTTCCGCAACTCCAGAGTTTCGTCCTTTTTAGCTTCGTTTTCGACTATGTTTTTCTCGCCCCGAGTGTTATGGATCTTTATCTCGAATTTTGTAGCAGCAACACACCGATGATTATTTCTACGAAAGCGCCGAGAATGTCTCGTTTTTCTTCGAGGGTACGGGTTTTCATTCCATTTTCTATGTATATTGTGGTCGAAACGTGAAGATATTGGTTGATTGATTTGTCAATTACCATTTTCTTGAACTTGAGTTTTGCCGCACATGGTAGCTCTTAATGTCAGCAAGACTGGTTTTAGATTTTTGTGACCCCTCTTCGTGCGTGTTGACTTTGGACTCGGGCATAGAACTTTTATCAGATAGGATTGTGATATTCTGTCATTAGTGCGCATATCAGCATCATTGCCGGAGTGCTACTTTTCACTAATCCTGGTAAATTTCGACAGAGAAAGCATTTGGTGATGATGGAAACTTGAAGCAACCCAAGCAATTGTCCATCAATAAAGTTGGTCACGGTATGCTATGACTGCTACATGATATGGTTCTGGTGCTGTCTTTTTGTAAATGATTGGTTTCGAGTGCTAAATTTTGCTTTTTTATCGAGACTGGTTCCAACGGTTGTCTTTTCTCAGCGCTGCACGAGCTTGACCCAGTGTTTAAGGCCTTCTCTAGCTCAGATAAAGTCTGTGGCATGCTGTCATCCTTAGGTTACAGAAGGCCTATCATCATTCAGTCGATGTATATATTCAAGGTACTTATCTCAGCCAATTAGATTTTTAAGATCAGCGAGTAGCTTAGTATATTATATTGTGCATTCATTTCCAAGGCAAGTTATTGATCTTAGTCTAGTATCATTGGTTGATGAATTAGCCTCTTATTATGGGTTCAGCCAGATGGTTGGTGGTTTACTGCATTTAGGCAGCAGACCTTCCATTCTTCATTTGCGAATATCTGCTGCAAGAGCGCAATGTTGGCCATCTTCCTTTTAACTTGTATCTGTGATTAGAAGATGGATTGATGCTGGCTAACTTTTAGGGACTTGCATTTGATGATACTTCCAGCAATCTTGTGCATAGATGTTGCTTGCGTTTGTCGAATCACCAGGCAATTTTGTCCTTGTCGTATAAAAAACTAGTGGTTATATAATTGTATACTTGACACATCCTAACATGTATGTGATTGGTGGATACCGAAATATAGGTTTAGAGTTTGTTTGGGGTGTGGAAATAGAGAATTTTCTCTTAGTCTCTGGCTGGTAAAGCAGAACTGCTGTTCCTGTATGGGTGTGCAATCAACGCTACTTGATCCCACTATATAAAGATGTTTAGGTTTGTACTATTGTACTCGGTATTATGTCCTAGGTCACCAGTTGAAACTGCTTGTTATATGAAGTGAAGATGTCTAGAAGAGATGCTATGCTAAGATGATCTAAAAATTTATATACACCAAATTTCATTATAGCTTTTGCTGTTCTCATCTTTGCTTTTTATGTAGATCATTTATGTCTCGACTGGTTGAGATATGATCATGTGGGCAATTGTTTGCCAGGATAGTTATCTTGCATATGTTGGCTAAGCCACGGTATCCGACCTAGCAAGTGACATGTTCTTATGTGTTCAATGCTTGAATCCTTTATCCACTATTCTGTCAAAGGCATTTTATTATCCAGCAGTCTTCTTAGTTCTTCTCACATAAAATTGTGCATGCAGCAACCTGGTATTGGAGGTGAAGTAGTGCCACACCAGGATAACTCATTTCTTTACACAGAGCCACCTACTTGCACAGGGCTGTGGTTGGCCCTAGAAGATGCAACTATAACCAATGGCTGTCTTTGGGCTATCCCTGGATCTCACAAGAGTAACATTGTCTATTGTGTAACTCATTATTTGCCTCGCAAGCATATTTCACTCTGAAATTAGTTCTTATCTCTGATCCTTCATGTTTTCCAGATGGCCTTGTGAGAAGGTTTATTCGAGGTGAAGGGGGAGTTTCCTTTGATCGCCCTTCCCCAACTTATGATACGAAAGATTTTGTAGCAATCGAGGTTAAAGCTGGGTCTTTAGTTCTAATTCATGGCGATCTTATTCATCAGAGGTTAGTCTAGAAGCTTTTTTTGTTTGGGACCTGCCAATATCATTTATTGTGCCATGATGATCAAAGTAAAGAATTTGTTGTTGACTTCAGCTTCTATGGCTCCTAATTTCTTCCAGGTTTGTTTTCAATTTTATGGATGCCTTTTTTTTTTTTTTGAAATAATGATTGGCTACTAAAGTTAGTGGTTTACACTAAATCTGCTGAACCTGTTAAATGTTGAAGTGGTCACAAACTCGGTTCTTCTCTGGTTTGGCTGTAAAATATTGTTTGGAAGATTCTTATGAAGCTTGTTGACTCTTAAAAACATGGTGCAATACTCCATGCTCAAAATGAAATGGTGGCTAATTCTTGACTTCTTTCCACTTGTTGACTCTAGCTTTGAGAACCAGTCCTCAAAGTCGAGGCATGCCTACAGCTTACATGTAGTGGATACTGATGGTTGCAAATGGGCGCAGTCAAATTGGTGAGGACATGAGAATTGCTTTCTTCGTTTGGTTTTCCATCATCTTGTTCTGATTTCATTTCTGGTAGATTCTCATCTTCATTAAAAGCTTAGAAACCTTAAAAATGATTTAGTTCAACTTTTTGAGCTGCGATGATTAAATACATCCCTTAATCTGTATTTCTCTTAAAAAAGAAGTTAGCATGACTGAAGACTGCTTTTGCTTCTCTAATTGCTGATTCGGAGTTTGGTGATTGGTTTCCAGGATCAGGAGAAAAGTCGAGGCGGAGCCTCTCTTTGTAGCTTGATCTGATCCCACCTGTACCGGGGTTGCCATGTGTGAGGCAAGAGAATTAAATCATTGAGGCAATCTTTTATAATCAATCTGTACATGGAGGAACTGCGTCAATCTTCAGAGAAATCACCATGGTTGTCACCTTTGCAAAGTCATAAAATGCCCGTTTCTTTTATCTGTAGTATTGGGATCTTGAAACGTTCGCTTGCGGAATGTAAATCTCGGACAGGTCGCAATATGAATAAGAATGATCAACTGAAAGACCCATTGTTGGTCTGGGAAGTACATGAAAAATGATTGGAACAGATCTACTAGTAATCCCTGTATGGCGTGCATTGTGAATTGTACTGGTGCTTGTCAACCTAAAGTTATCTGAACTCTAGTTAATTGTGGTCTTCATTCCTGCCCTGTGCCTAAGATAAGGAAAATAGACTGTATTCTTTTGGAGTTAGCCAAAAACCAGAAACGTTTGTAAGCTGTAGGAATTTTAAGCTTTTAATTTAGGGCTCCAACTAGGGTGAATCCTAAACTATGCCCATTTGAACTGATTTATCATAATTTTTTCAAAGCACCTCGAATACTCCTGAACTGACGATGCCTTTGGGACAAGCTTACTCTAGAACTATTAAGGGAGCAAATGATAATCATTCTGTTTATCTATTTTTTTATTTTTCTGTTCTTAGGAATAGGTTTGAAACAGAAATTTGTTTGGTAATGGAATTTCATTTTTCTATTTCTGGAACAAATTTTTACTTCAGAAATAGGTTTGGAACAGAAATTAGCAGTAAAAAAAATATACTTTTCTATTTTTGGAACAAAAATACGAAATAAAAATTCTTCTCATCGCTTGTTTTTGCTAGTAGCCAACTGCCCATCCACGTCGACCAAAAAAAAAAAAAAACTGCCCATCCACCGCCCTCCGTCGCCGGTCGCCTCCCACCATCGTCGTCCGTTGCCGTTCGCCGCCGTCCACTGCCGCCAGCTATGTCCCACCACCTCCCAATGCCGTCCGCCACCACCTGCCGGTGGCCATCCACCGCCGCCTGCCATCTGCCATCCTCCGCCACTACCCGACGCCATCCGCCTCCCACCATTGGCCACTGCTGTCCACCGCCGTTCACCACCGTCCGCTGGCCACCTTCTGTCGTCCTTCGTCGATCGCCTCCTCCCATCCTCCACCATCGCCCGACACCGACTGCCGTCAGTCATCGCCGGTCGCCTCTTGCCATTGGCCGCTATCCGCTGGCCAACTCCCACCACCGTCCTTCGTCGTTGGCCGCCGTCTGTAGTCTTTCGCCGTTGCGCAACCCCGGCCACCTCCTATCGTCAGCCGCCGCCCGCTGGCTGCCTCCCGCCACCGTCCTCCGCCGGCCACCTCCTGCCACCGTCCTCTGTCGCCGCCCATCGTCATCCGCTACCACCCGACACCGACCCACTCCCCCCACCGTCCTCTGCCGTCAGCCGCCATCTATAGTCCTCTGCCGTCATGGGACACCGGCCACCTCCCACCATCGGCCGCCATCGCCTTTCGCCGTCGCCGCCCATCGTCGTCGTTCGCCACCTGGCACCGGCCAGCTCCCGCCATCGCCGGCAGCCTCCGACCACTGCCCGCCGACTTCTGGAGAGGAAGAAATTTTGTGTCGTTATCAAACGAATTTCTATTTCGGAAATAGAAATTTTGTGTCATTATCAAACAGATATTTTGGCAAAGAAACTCGTCCATGGAATAGAAATAGAAAAATTGATTTCTGGAACATAATGGTTATCATTCGTGCCCTAACTCTCTTAAATTCAGGAATATTTTGTCAAAACTACCAATTTTATCCTTCAGGTTCTTTTATTATTAATTTTCTTTTTTCTTTCTTGCTGAAGTAGTGCCACACCAGGATAACCCATATTCAAAAAGTTTTGGTTTGGTTCACGTATCACAAAAATCCGTACCGAACCAAACCGAATACCTGACAGCCTTAAGTAAAGGAACTCTCGCTGTCTGATCTCAAATACTTGTCTTATGCGTTATTGGATTTTTCACAAGACTGCATGGGGATGATGTGAGTAGGAAATCGGGAAAATTACCAAAATAGCCCTAAACCTATGGCAATTGTGCCAATTTGGTCATAAACTTTTTTTTATGCCAATTTAGTCCTAAACCTTTTGCATTTGTGCCAATTCAATTCATTCGACCAATTTTGGCTAGCTGGCGTTGGCCGTCCAGCCAACGCTTACATGTCAATTTTTAAATATTATTTTTTGAATTTATTTATTTATTTCTTTTCTTTTTCCCTTTCTTTTTTTTCCTTCACCTTCATCTTCAACCTCTAGCCGGTTGTCGTTCCGGGGACTGGCCAGAGGCGAGGCTGACCTCGCCAGATCTGGCAAGGGCTTGTCCTGAGGTCAGCCTCGCTTGCCCCGTGTGCCGGCGAATTCAAGCCTCACTAGATTTGGTGAGGGCTTTGTCCTCACCGTTGCTGGCCAGTGAGGTCAGCCTCGCTTGCCCCCGTGAGTTTAAACCTCACCGGCAATTGTAAATCTGGCGAGGTCGACCTCGCCTAGTAATGGCAAGGTCAAGCTTAGCCAGCGGTCGGTAGGGCCGACCTTGCCTATCCCTGCTCGACGATTGGCCAGAGGTTGAAGATGAAGATGAAGGAAAAAAAAAGATAGGAAAAATAAAAAGAAAGGAAAAAGAAAAGAAAATAACAAAGAAAATAAAAAATTTCGAAAAAAATAATATTAAACAATTGCCACTTCAACGTTGGCCGAACGGCCGGCGTCCATGTCAATGCAGGCCGGCTAAATTTAGCCGGATGGACTTAATTGGCACAAATGCAAAAGGTTTAGAACTGAATTGGTACAAAAAAAATTTATGGCTGAATTGGCATACTTGCAGTAGGTTTAGAATCGTTTTATTACTACTCATATTATTTTGTTAGAAAAAATGAAATTAGAAAAAAATAACAAAAGAAAAACAGGCTCTCAGGTATACCTTGAAAACGGACTGAAAAAACAGGATATGTTCCAAAACAAGTTCGAGGACAAACATGATAAGTTTCAAGTTCTAAAAACTGGGAACCGGTTATAACAGGGTAGGTTTCAGGTTCCAGGTATGGAATATACCCATCCTGAAACTGATCACCTCTACATATAAGGAAAAGGCCAAAAGAGGAGGAGAGCTAAAAAAGGAAAGGGATAAGTGCACTAGAAGTCATAAAACTTGTCTGGAAAGTACAATTGAGTCCTAAAACTTTCAAAAAATGTGATCAAGTCCTAAAACTTGTTACAAAAGCGCAATCAAGTCCTAAAAATTTCAACAAGTGCAATCAAATCCTAAAACTTATCACGAAGGTGCAATCAAGTCCTAAAACTTATCACGAATGTGCAATCAAGTCTTAAAACTTTCAAAAAGTGCAATCAATGGAAGGACTTGATTGAACCAATTTGACAAGTTTTAGGATTTGTTTGGATTTTCGTGACAAGTTTTAGGACTCGTTTGCACTTTTTGAAAGTTTTAGGACTCAATTGCACTTTCCTAACAAAGTTTAGGACTTAATTGCATATTATGAAAGTTTTAGGACTCAATTGCACTTTCGTGATAAGTTTTAGGACTTTGAATGCACTTATCCCAAAAGGAAATGGATAAGTGTACCGGAAGTCCTAAAACTTGTTATGAAAATACAATTGAGTCCTAAAATTTTCAAAATGTGCAATCAAGTCCTTCTATTAACTTCGTCCAACTGGACAAACGGAAAATGTTAACAAGTTTTATGACTTAATGACACCAACTTGACAAGTTTAAAAACTTGATTTCATTAGCTTGACAAGTTCTAAAATTTGATTGCACTTTTTGGAGAAAATATTCAGTGGTATGTGCGCGCCACGTCATAGGCTGACGTGACGCGTATTTATCTAGTTGGATCCATTCACCATTTGACATGTGTCAATTGAATTAAAATTAAATAAAAGCAAAATTTATGACTACCTGCTGGATCATTAATGGGGAGCAACTTTTTAGGAAAATTTTAAACACCCACCCAAAACCTGTCTTCAACCTTCATTCACAACTTCAGAAGAAACCTTCATTTTTTCTTTCTCTCGGATCTTACATTTCAGACCAGAAAAAACCTTCTTCCTTTTTTTTTTTTTAGCTCTTACGTTGCAGACCGCCGCTCAACCCCGCGCTTAGATGACCTCCATTTTCGCTTTGAAGGTCGCCGCTTCTATGACCTCCATTTTCGCTTTGAAGACCGCCGCTCGACCACCATGTTTCAAAGACCGTCGCTTGACCACCACACTTCGAAGACCTCCATTTTCACTTAGAAGACCGCCACGCTTCGAAGACCTCCATTTTTGCTTCAAAGCTCGATGCTCAACCACCACGCTTTGAAGACCTCCATTTTCGCTTTGAAGACCGCCACGCTTCGAAGACCGCCATAACTTTGAGATTGCGGAATGTCGAGCGGGGTGAGCTCGATCCCACTCGACATTGAGCTCCAATGTGCCTCTTGTAAGCCGTCCGCGAGGCGCGGCTGAGTGCCCTAGGATCGCCATAGCAAGAAATAGATGGTATGGTAAAAGAATAGACGGGATTTGTGCACCTGTTTTGGAATCCATCGCCTCTGAATGCGGAAATGACGACGAACAGGTGTCGGAGCTCTTCTCCCCTATAACTCCCGGAGTCCTTAGCGCTATGAGATCGCCTCAGCCCTCACAAATACCGTATGCGAGGTTTAAGAGTGTTTGAGAGAGAGTTGGGATAGGGGAGGGACCTCCACCTCTATTTAAAAAGTTTCCAGCCAGGCCCTCTCATAACTGGCCGGGCTCAACTCGGCCCACACAAGCTAGGCCCATATCAGATTGATTTAGAATCCTTATATCCAATCTTATTAGATCAAGCTCGTAAACGGTTAATTACAATCTCAATTAATGTAGCCCACATACAAGAAAACTCTTACATTCTCCCACTTGGGCTATATTAATTGAAATCGTACCGTATGTGTGCACTTTTATATTGGTCTAGGGATTATTCTTAAGAGTCAATCCGATCCCATAAAGTTTTGAACACCGAATCATGGTGGTAACTGCATGAACATCAAACGCAGAGCCTTCCATGGTTACAAGTGCCTTTGACTTTACTGATATAGATTCGATATGGTTGTGCGGTAAATGGATAACACCTCATAAAGAGTTATACCTTATGTGTCATCCCCTTTGTTAGTCCATATTCTCTCTCCTTAAGTATCACAAAAACCTGATGTATCACTAGAGAATATCTTTATGGTTCCAATGAACCTACATATGCCTTATCCTT